GCACAGATTAAAAAACAGCATTAATTCAAATCCCTGAATCTACCTGTTTCTCTCGCCGAGCGCAGCAACCTCATTAATGCATCAAAAAGGAAAGGAAATTGATTTACTGTGAGCTGCCTTCCGTCCGTGAAGGATTGGTTTTTCGGCCGCGCAGAGGGTTTCTCGGCACCGGGTTCACCCTCGGGAAAGTTCAGTCAGTTCGGTGCTACAGCAGAGGGTTTGATATGCTCACAAGTCGAAGAGGATGGATTTTGCGGAAGTAATCGGCGAGGAGCGTCCCGGCCGATCCGTCCAAAGAAAGGGGAAAACGAACTCACTCCGCGGTCAGCTTTAAAGGCTTCCGTCTCCTCAGTTGGCGCAGCCGCTATGCACGATGGAACACTGCGATCCGTGACTTTTGACGCAGGAAAACGAAAGCTACTTCCAGTCAGCTTTCTTCTGGTATTTCAAGTGAAACGAGCCTCTCCTGGCAGGCTTTTAAACTCATGGAAAAAGAGGGTGAAGATGTGCGCGCGCCGAGTTTTAAGGCATGAGTGACGTGGGGGGGCACTTCCTGTCGGAGTGTCGGCTGATTGGTCTGTGCCATGAGTGACGTGGGTGCACTTCCTGTCGGAGTATCGGCTGATTGGTCTGTGATTAAGGGGATTAAAGCTCCATTTTGGGCAATATATCCCAACAGACCTTTGCAAACCCTACCCTTAAAAAATATGTATTTTAATAATTAGGACAAAGCGAACAGGATGGACTGCATGTTATACCATGTTACAGTAACATGCTTTGAGCTGTTGTTGAAGCTTGGACGAGCTTTATTTCACTAAGGGTTTAAACACTGATATGGCATTAGTGTTCATGTGTTCCTCAAATGCTCATTACATTTCGATTGCCAAGTATGACCAAGAGTCATTTAATGGAATCCTCAAGTCTATTCGCTGATAGCTAATTCAAAGAGGATAAAGAATCATTTAACTAAAGGTTACTCGTTCCCGATTAAGCAAATCATTTAATAAAACATTATTTGGCCAAATAATGTTTTATTCACCTCATGGATTTGCATTGTCAATTGGGTTTAAAACATTCCAATAGTTCTAAATTAGTGAAAAGCTCATTTGATCACATCCCAAATTCTTCCAGATAAACTTTGGTTTTCTAAATACAAAATCCATCTTAAACTGTAATATGGTTTTCAACCATGTTTCCCCTTTCTCTTTGTATATAGCAATTTAGTTTAGTTGAGTTTCACTAGTTTTAGTCAAGAGTTTTTTGCTGAAATATGTTTGACTTGGAGCTAAATGATTTTTGTTAATAAACTCTTATATTTTGAACAGAACTTGTGGTGAATTTATTCCATGTTTATTTATTCCACAATTTGAGCTTAAATCACTCTTTCATTTATTGTTCTAACACACAGCTAGTAGGGCTTGTGTTCATAAACAATATATCACAGTCCAAATCACATCTGATTAAAATAATATTTGCCACCCCTACCAGGGAGGGCAATGCACATCTTAAAGTATCAGAAAATATTATCAATTCCCAGCGGGCTGGGATTTGAATAAAACAGTCATTCACAACAGCTGTCAACCCACCAAACATGTTCTCTAGTCACAAAGAAGAATGCAGGTTCCCATTAGATTATTGGCTCCCGAAGTAAGAGCTTCTCATAAAGATGGGGGCTCGTCAGCTCTTTAATTCAGCTCTGCAGAAGTCTTATCTCTTCGTTAGTTAGTCAGTTTTATGGGGCAAAGAAATGCCAAATGTGTGAATTAAGGACATTTGTTCTCGGTCATGCCTTCTAGCATGTGCTTGTGCTAAATAAAAATTAGCGCTTTTTTCATCGATTTCCAACTTTTACTTCTTCCCCCCGGCGGCTGAAGAAAAAAAGGAAAGTTACACCTCTGCATAAGTTTCAAAGAGTGGGGAAAAAAGTAGCGGTTTGTAGTCTGGAAAATACTGTAATTCGTTCAGATTAGTATTGGACTGGCCAGTTTATTTCTGTTTATTTTTTAATTATAGTAAAGGAGTATGGCAATAGGGTCGAAATGTAATCAGGACATCAACACAACAACACCCTAGTTTTTAAAAGAGGCCTTTTAATGAAAACAAGATAAGGGATTGGTTCAAGATTTTCTGGATATCTGTGCATGTGTCTAATGGAACAGAGACATTCCCATATTTAATTTTTTCCCAACAGCATGAGGGTTACCTCTTTTCTGGGGATGACATCAACAAGATGTGCAGATTCTAAGGTCTAAAAATTCAGCACCACACAAAACTGCTGAAGTGTGGAAGACTCTGAGGAGGGTCAACCCAAGAAAGGCCCCAGGCCCCGATAAAACACCTTTGATGACAATTTCACACCCCTCCATGATTTCTAAGTGGGAAAACTTGCAAAAATAGCAGGATATTCGAATACTTATTTTCCTCACTATATGTACAAAGAGCTGTATCTACTTCCTGACCCACAGAAGTAGGAGTGATCTTTCTTCCCTACAATGAAAAGTACACATTAATAGCTTGGTCCTCTTCTTAAGAAACAAGTCAAGAATATGTATATAACATCAGTGACTAAATGTATTTTATTTTCTCTTGAATCTCAGTAAGTATTATGAACTCACTGAATAGGTTTTAATCTACTAAGTATTAAATGAATCAATACCTGTATGGCCATCCTGCGTTGCAACATTTAAAAACTAACCTTTCTTAAGGGGAGTAAAAAAACAACTGCCCCTCCTTAAGGAAAATGGAAATGTACGTTTTTTTTGGTTTTTTTTGTTCTTTTTTTTCAATTTTAATAGATGAACATAATGCTTTCCATGGGGCATCCCCAACAGCCTGTACTGTAGCTTCAAGCGAAGAAAAACACAGAAAAAAGCCACTTCAGGCCAGTAGACCAAAGACTGACTCATAGTGAATATTTAATGCATCCCAAAAAAGCAGGTTAGCTTACAAGCTGTAAAAACTAGAACAGGAAAAATAAACATACATTTCAATGTTGAGAATGATAGAGTGCATGACAATTGCATGAAAACGAAATTAAGACTTTGAGTTCCTCAACTAAAGACTGAGGATTGAGGCAAACATCCAGCTTCATCTGTCTCTTGAAAGCCACACTTTTTCATCAGACACTTTCAAGTTATATTTTATTATGAGATTAAAGTTATTACTACATTCTACTTTTGATTTGTTTAAAAATCTAAACAAAGATACTCTTTGCAGCAGCATTTTGAGGGTATTTAACTTAGACTACTACATATACAAATTTCAGCTCAGTGAAAATTTGTGAAAAGTGCTCCCTTTACAAAGACAGGCAAAATATGCATCCCCCTTAGGCAATCTGCACATGATGAAGACTCTAAGAAGTTTTCAAATCTAATTCCAAGCATATTTATTTACAAGATTTTCTAACAAATCCATGTATGTCTGGAACTGCACAAAGATGACAACGCAGGTGCATTTTCAACCCTTTAGGATGAAATATGTAAATTAAAGTTTCAGCAAATTCCCAAACACTCTCAAGTCATTAAAACATCTAAAAGGAGGTCTTATTGCTCTCACTATTCTGTTATGCCTGTCCCCAAGGCTGATTATAAAGTATTTTACACTGCAACTAATCAGCAAACATGGACAATTATCCAAATCAAATTAGATATCCAATCATGTACCCTCATACCTTGTCTTAATTACACGATTTTGTTTTCAGTGAATTTTTTTTTATATTTGAAATAATAATGAATGCAATCAGTAAGAGTGCCCTAAGCTACATCATGAATAAGTGTGTTAATGACGACACAAGCCCCTCATTCTGCAACTTCCCAAACATTTTAACTATGAACTGCCACAGCAGGTTCGTACTCAAAATAATATATATTCCAACTAAAATATAACCTTAATATGCCTTTATGATATAGTTAAAGTAATTCTGGGTAAATATCACAGCCATTGCAATAAATGGCGAAAGCCAAAGCCTTCCGTTGGCTGGTGTAATAATGACTTTATACTGTTCTTTCCGTTACTTACACTAATATTGTAAATCAGGAAAAAAAATCCTACACTTTTTAAGCATGAATTCTCATTTATTTTGTTCTTATTGGTTGTCTGTATCCATATGGAGTGGGTGTGTGCAAGCCTGTGCATTTTTTTTTCTTGGTTGGTGTATTTTTTTTGGTTGATGTCTTGTAAGTGTCTCTTACTTTAACGCAAAAAAGTAATTTAAGGTAGTATGAAGGAGCAGCTTAAGAGACACTTAAGCAAAGAAATTTCGTTTAAAACAGCTCTACACAATTTCATTTCTTAAAGTGCAGCCTTGACAACATTAAAACATTTAAACATTTTTTTTTTTAAATAAATAAAATAACCCATTTTACGCAACATTCAGCAGTCTAATGGCAGTGGGGAAGAAACTGTTATGGAATCTGCTGGATTCCATGACAATGACAATAAAGCTTAACATATGTTGAAACCTGTGGTAGCCTATAGCCGCCAGCTGGAGGATTCATGTAGTTTCTGCTCCTTATTATCATGCAGATTAACTGGGTCTGCAACTGCAGATTTCAGTGATCGACCTCATGAACTGTGTTCACCTGCGGGACGTACTCCATATTGAGAGGCAGATGCTGCAGTTGGCTTTTACGCACACTAATTCATCACATCAATTTTTGCAATTTGTGTCATGGTTACTTAATTATGGCATTAGATTGAAATTGAAATAAAGCACAACGAATGTAGAAAACCAATGCAAATAGTCTATGCGGGGATTACTTTTCTGAAAACACAAAACATGCATAAGAATCCACATGGGGGCTCTGGAGCGTTTTGTTTCTCACGTGCGTATAAATTTGTCTCTCGTACCAGATGTGGCCGCATCTGAACAAATCTCTCAAACAGACATTCTAACCTTCCTCACAGACATGGTCGCCCAGGAAAAAAATAAAAAAAAAAACTGCATGGAAATATGCGCATTTTGATGAATAACGGGGAAAATGTATCATACAGTTACCTACCTTGATAGTAAAACATCGCCCAAAGATAAACTCCAACCAAAACAGATCCATTTCTCTTTCGGAGCTCCATCTTAAGCATTAGACATGAAGTCCCCCCTGAAGCCAAGAAGAAACGTCAAAGTTGGTAGAAGAGGCGCTTTGACAGACTGCTGGTGCTGCTCTCCCTCCGGTACGTCTGTCTCTGTCCTCCTCCTCCTCATCTGACAGGGCAGACGCGGACACGCGAGCACAGGATGTCTGTCTTCTTGTGTTTAGGTTTCCTGTGACTTCAAAAGTCACTTTGGATCCAGCTCTGTCCTCTCTCTCCCTTATCTCTCATTGTGCTTATATATATTGTTTCATGTATCAAACCTGCGGAGCAGCGTGTTTCCTAATGGTAACCGACAGCCTGTCAGCTGAGCGCACCGTCAAACTTCTCCAGGTTGGTATCCGCTGCAACCTGGAGGCTCGTTAAATACAGGACGGTAGAAAGAGCGCTATTAAATGTTCATGATGCCAATACATCTCTGCCAGAGGACGAGAAGCCACACCCTTAACCCGAATTTATTTGACAATACGACTTAGAATGATTCAACTGGTTTTTGATGTTAGAGAACTAAAGGTAAAAATTACACCTTAATATTCGCATATATTTGTCTCTTTAGTTTTATTCCCCCTCCCCGAATCTCTGCACCAATTATTAGTTTTTCTTATTAAAAAACAGAAAATAACGATTGTGTTGTTATAGCATATATCATTACAGGTGAGTTTAAAGAGTTATATTAAAGTAAGTTGAACACTTAAGAAATATAAATTGACCTTTCTGAGATAAATACGTTAGAGCAACTAAAAGGAGTAGCTCAGTGTTTTGTTTTATTCCCAGGAAACTGTTGTCAGTTGTTATCTGAAGAACGTGATGTAAATGTAATAAAGTGAAAATAAAAGAGCTTAAAGGGGAACACCGGTTCTTTTTACATTGGGCCCTTGACTGCGTTATTACATCATCTTCTACTCACCCATATGAGTTTTGTGTCATTTGGAGCTGTTCTGAAGATACTTGGTTAGGTTATATCCAAGTAACATTTTCCTACGGGAGCATTCCGCTTTGTTTTTAAAAAATATAAATAGAAAAAATATAACAGCGGATGCCTGGGGGACAGTGATTCGCCTACATGTTATGAATGCTGGCGTACCATAAATGATAAATCATGAACAGTTTAGTTTGTGCCTTCAAGTCGTTGCCCATAGGAAGACGTTACTTGGATGTAACCTAACCGAATATCTTCAGAACGGCTCAAAATGACACAAAACTCATATGGGTGAGTAGAACATGATGTAATAACGTAAAATCAAAATAAAAAAAGGACTTTAGGCTCAGAGCTTATTCTCAAATGTGTTATGTGTGAAAAGGGGGCATGCCTCAGGGTTCTGTACTACCCCTTCTTTTATTTACACTTTACATAAATGACCTAGGACAGAATATTCCAACTTCTTTTTTTCCATTACTATGCTAATCATGCTGTCACATACTGTGTAGCACTTACCCCTGCTAAGGCCTTTAAATATTTACAACATGTTTTTGATAAAGTTCAGGAACAGCTTTGTCATCTTCAACTTATACTAAATGCTGACAAACCTACACTCTGAATTCCAAAGTGTTAAATTAAATTGACTCTTTAAGAGTTATTCCAACAACAACTGGAGTAAGATATACACTATGTTGAGTTCTAATTTAACACTAATTCTGAGTGGGACCAAATGCACTCTGAATGTGTTACTTTACAGTGCACAATTTACTGTGTAAATGTATGCTTTTTATTTCTTCAGCAATCATGAGATCTTTACTGAGTCAAAAACTTTCAACAAGAAAAGGTCAACAAATTGAGTTGGTGTTCAGTTTTGAATATTTAGTTTTTCTAATTGATTATCAATTGTCTTTTAAGGACTACATTCTGCTTCTTGCTAAAGACAGAAACTTATTTTTGGATTTTATTACTGAAATACGTGCTGTTTTTTATTTTAATTAAAGGTATAGTGAAGGATTTTCACAAAGTTTTGAAAAGACCCACCCTCTCCACTTTAAAAAATTGCACATGCACAACCCTGTGCCTGCTTCCGAGAGGGAAGCACAGGTGTGTGTGAGAGCCTTCAGGTGCCCATTTCTCCTCATGTACGCTTTGTTTAAATGTTGCTGTATGCACCCCTCATAAATGTTTACTTTCCAAAAGAAGATTTTCAATTTTTCCACTATGTCAGACTCACCATCGCTAAGTTAAAATGGGGAGGAGGCCGTAGGACGGTCTTTAGTAAACATACTGTATCACCAGAATGAATGACAATTAGGAGAAGCACAAATTTTGGGGATCCACCTGGGGGAAAAAAATTAATCAACTATACCTTTAAAAGGGAGTTTGTGGAAACATCCTTCTTGTTTGTTATTGATTTTGGAGATATGTGGCATATCAATTGCCAAGCAGGTTTCAATAATATAATTTTTAATCTCCTGTATATTGCAAAAAATAAAAAATATCCTGTCTAGGAATGATGCTAAGAAACTAATCCAATATATACACCACATCATAATTACAGAGGTGCTGTATATATTGGGAGACTGAGCCAAGACAGGCTAATCAGCAGATTGGGAACAGGTGTGGACAAGACCAACTAGGAGGAAGCCAAAGGGAAAGGAAACAAGCACAAGGAGGCAACAGAGGGTAACTAAAGAACTCAGCACTGGTAGAAATCAGTCTTAGACTTATTCAGATTTATTTTGTTATTTTGTATACACAAAGTGTAAACAAAGAGAAATTTCTTTAAAAACAGCTCTTTAGACAATTTCATTTTTTAAAGTGTAGCCTTGAAAACAGTAAAAAAATACATAAAAACTGTAATATAAACATATGACTGTATAATTACAGTTCAAACATTTCATTTTTTTTATAGTAAAATATAATATATATTAGGGCTGCAACAACGAATCGATAAAATCGATAAAAATCGACTTTTAGAAGCGTTGGCAACGAATTTCATCATCGATTAGTTGTGTCGCGCGATTAATGCGTCATCCGCCGCGCCGTCATCAC